AGGCCCATGCTCTACCACTTGAATGATACCTCCAGTCCAGGTATCTTGCTGATTAATTGCAGATTAGAGACTCATGGACTTTCTCTTCCAGGGCTGGCTTTGAACCATGATCCTCAGATCTCAGGCTCCAGTGTAGCTAGAATTACAGGCATGAACCAGCTCAAACTCAACAATTTGATAGTAAAGTCAGTGAGACACTGAACCAAGCAATAAAAATCCTACAACTGAGAGGACAAAGACAGTCTACTGACCCTCCTTGGAACTTTGGATTCACCCAAAGGCAGAGTAAACCTTTCATTCCCATAGCCAGAAAATTCTCCATCAATAGTCAATCAGCATGAATTATTTTATACCAGTAATGAGCCTTCCTAGACATTGTTGCTTTCCCTGGTAGAGGCCCAACCCTGCCTCCACCTCAGAAACTTTCAAGGGTTAAACTTAAATAATCCAATAAAAAATGACTCTCCACAGATCTGAAAGAATGCAAGTCAGAATACAGTAGAGACACACACCCATGTTCATTGCAGCATTATTGATAATAGCCAAGCTATGGAATCAGCCTACATGCCCTACACCTGATAGACGGGTAAAGAAAATGTGGTGTATTATTCAACCATAAAGAGGAATTAGCTAGGTACTGGTGGCTCTTAACTGTAATCCTAGCTACTCAGGAGGCTGAGAGCTGAAAATCATTGTTCGAAGCTAGCCCCAGTAGAAAAGTCCAAGAGAGTCTTATTTCCCACTTAACTAGCAAAAAAATGGAAGTGGAGGTGTGGCTCAAGTGGTAGAGCACCAGCCTAGAGAGAAAAGCCGATGAGAGCATGAGGCGCTGATTTCAAGCCCCAATACTGGCACAAAAGAAAAAAATAAGAAATCATGCTACTTTCAGGCGTAAAATGGATTAAACTGGAGTTCATATGTAAAACACCAGGTTCAGAGGGATAAAGGTCACATTTTTTCTCATATGCAGAATTGAAACTATACATATGCATACATACATTCGTATGCCTACATACATATATAAACATGACTGCAATAATGGGACTGTTTTGTGGAGTGAAGGGCGAGAGAAAAGGAAAAAGAATGATGACGGTGAAGAATACAAAAAATTGTGTCTATGTATGAAGAAAGTACAAAGAAGCACAATGCAGTCTGTCGAAAAAATAGGAGAGATCAAAAATAGGAGGGGAGGGCAGAGGGGGAAAGAGTATGATAGAAGGGATAAGATCAAAGAATAATACATGCATGTGTGAACTACCACAGTAAAATCTCCTTGGAACAATTAATATACACTAATAAAAAAGATAACCTGGCAAAACAATGCCTCTCATCATATTTTATGGCCCAGTGCTAGACTGAGAGTCAATGTGGAATGTGCGGGGTAACAGGTTTACTCTGAAGTACTTTCAAAAAGCCTTCAGTGTGAATCCATTGTCAGAAGCTCCAGCTTGTTCTGCCTTTATTTTCTGAACCCCTAAACCTAACCACACCCCCATTTAGGATTTCAGAGCTGAGATGGGGACTGTAACCAATACCACCCTGCTCCTCTTTCCCACAAAAGGCTCCCCTGTCATCCCAGAAAGCCATCCTTGGCCTAGATTTCCCACAAAATTGCCTGGTTGCCTTTTGTCCTTCCTGCTCTTTGGTCTAGGTTGGAGGACTCCCAAAATCTCCACAATCTCTGCAAAAGTATAGGCTCATTCCCCCTTCCATACTGCCTCCAATCTGTCTCTGGGGCTTGAACTCAGGGCCTGGGCACTGTCCCTGAGCTTTTTTTTCTCAAGGCACTCTATCGCTTGAGCCACAGCTCCACTTCAGCTTTTTTTTTTTTTTGGTGCTTAATTGGAGATAAAGGTTTCACAGACTTTCCTGTTTGGGCTGGCTTTGAACCTTGATCCTTAGATTTCAGACTCCTGAGTAGCTAGGTTTGCAAGTATGAGCCACTGGTGCCCAGCTTCATTTCTCTCTCAATCTTTTCCTTTTTTCTCCCCAACCCAGTTCCTATTTGCTTTCCTCTCAGGAACCTCTGGTTTGCCAGTCCTCCCATGGTCTGGAAGCCAGGGAAAATTGACTTCCCTCAAACAGATAAAGAGGACACAAAATACACCATTGGTGACACCCCAAAACCGTGTATTACAGAGTCCAACAAACACCATATATTGCGTGTTCTAGTATAGCCCCGCTTCCACATCTTTTCTCTCTCCTGTGGCGTTTGCCCATGTCAGAGGATGCCTGGGATAAAGTTACCTTTTAAACATCAAAACTACCATTCTCTGGGACTCAGAAACACCCAGAAAAGCTGTTCAGCTACTAAGAAAGGTAATTGTGAAGTATTAGCTTTTTCCATCCTTTTAAGATACCAGGGCTGGGGCACAGGTGGCCAGAACATTTTGAGTCAACTGAAGAAAGTATGTGCTGGTGGAGACATTTGGAATTGCAGAATCGAAATGGTAGCTTGAGAAAGCTGTGGAGCTCAAGAAAGGTAGTGCTGAGGATGAGAATTTTCTGAAAGTTCCGGAATGTAGTAGGATGTTCCTGACTTCTCCAAAATAAAAAGTGACGTGTTCCTGAGAAGCTCCAGTATCAAAAAATAACTTTAGTGAATTCAAGATACAACCCAGCAGGGACTCAAGCCAAAGTATTCTGAGACCCTGGGGACACACAAAATTCCATTCTGTCCCTTCCTGACCTATACTCCCCATAATTTAAGCCAAGAACCTAGCTCCTCAGTGGACCTGGTCTGTCAGAGCACACACTGGCCACACCCCTGCACAGACCACTGTACCACCGCCCCCCTGCAGCTGCACTGTGAGGTCTTGACCGGAAAGTCCCAGCCAGCCCTCCCCCTGAGTGTCCTATGATCACCTACTTTGAAGTCTGTTCCCCAGCAGTGAACCTCTTCCTGGTAAAATAGTGGTTTTTCCAAGCTTTATTACATAGTCCTAAGGCTCCAGCTCTCAGCCAGCTCACACCACATAAAAGCCAGGCCCTAGCTTCAGCCCGGCTGCCACTGTGACCATTCAACTTTCACCCAAACTTGTCACTGACTCTCAAAGGTCATCAGCCTGCCTTGAACCATGGGGCAATGCTCAGCAGGTACCTTCCTCCACCCAATGTAACCTAGGCAACAACCAGAGGCCCTAGCCAAGAGCCCCAAAATTGCACCAAAGCAGGAAAAAGGTGATCCCAGGCAAGAGTAGGGAAGCAACCTTCTCAAAAGTTGTTCCACACAGTCCAGAGACCCTTGCACTGCAGCGTCAGGTGGCATGAGCGGTCCTGAGATGGCCCTTGACAGCTACTGGCTTGCACTTAAGCTTTCTTCAAGTGGGCCTGTAGCATGCCACTGTGCCAGTGGGTCACAAGGTTTGAGGCACCAAGAGCCCCAATCCCCCTCTTGCCAGGGCTGTCCAGTGAAGCTGCAAACATGTAACAAAACTCCTTGGTTGAGGACCATGAGAGAGGTCCGATGCAGAGAAATGTAGGGGTGACACTCCAGAATTCAAGATTTGTGTATTCACATCCTAATTCCCAGGCTTCCCCCTTAGATGGTGGAGAAGTACACACTGGGAGGGTGGAGGCAAGAGAAAAGAACTCCTGTCTGCTCCAGAAAAATACAGCATAGTGGAAAAGCCACCGTTTTCCAAATTGTGAACTTGGGGTGGTGGCCTGGCTACAGCTGTCCTGGGGACCAGAGGGAAGGACGGAGGGAAGGAGAGAGAGAGAGAGGGATTGAGAGCACCAGACTTTAGAAAGAGGGCATCCCAAAGCCCCCAGCTTGGTCCTAAGATCCCCAGGCAGAATAACGAAAAGGCTTCTTCCACAAACAAACAAGGCTCCTTGGACTCTTCCAAGCCCACCTGGGTCCTCCATACCATCCAGGCTCGTGCATGGGTTTTGGAGCCCTAAGGCCTGAAAGGCGAGGGGCTATGCCCCCCCCCATACACACACACACATTCAACCTACTAGTGTTAGGAAGGACCAAATGAAAGCGGGAGAGGCAGGATTGGCATTCCAAGGGCTGCAGGCAGAAAGAATAAGGCACCCCACGGCTAGCGGAGAGGCCCGGGGAGCCCTGGAGAGCATGGCTTGTGGGAGGGCGGCACAGAGTGAGCCCTGAGCCCCAGGGCCCAGCCTGCCAGCTGCCTCACGCGTCTCTGGCAGGAGATCCAGGGGACCGCCTCCCTGATCGCTTCGCTCCGGGGCTCGGCTCAGAGGGCAGGGAGATCCTCTAGCTCCCCTAAGGCGACAGTGGACCACGCTGGCCTGGCTGGGCCATAATCACGGCAGGCAAGGAGGCGCACACACCCCCATTCCCACTCTGTTCACTCCAACACACACACACACACACAAACACACACACACACACACACACACACACACACACACACACACACACCTGCCATGAATTTGACTCCCATCGAAGTCACCATCCCAGCTCTTCCTTTCATTCACACACACACACACACACACACACACACACACACACACACCTGCCATGTATTGATTCTGACTGAAGAGTCAGCAGCATTTCCAAAGTTTTTTTGACGGAAAACAACTCTGCTCCCCCTCAAAACACTGGAGGACTGTTGCGGAGATGGCCGCACGCATGCTTCTTTCTGAAATTGCCCCGCCTTCCAACTACTCTTCCCTTTCTTTCATGACTTCGCCTCCTCCCCCACCACACCCCACCCCCCCTAAAAAAATAGAAGCTTAGAAATATTTTCCCCCAGCACACTCGAGTAAAGGACTTTAAACAAATCCAAAAGGATTATCCCAGGGCAAAAAAAGTTCATGGCTTGTGTGAGTTCAATGAAAGTCCCAGAACGTCTTGAGTTCTAATCTCCACAACCCAGGCTGCCTAGAACCGCCCCCCCCCCGCAATCCGCGCCCTGGGCAATCAGCAAGAGGTGGCAAAGGACGAACTAGGAGGTATGAAGGTGGCCGTGGGAAAAGGGCCATTCTTGCTCAGAATGCCAGGTGGGGCGCGTGGGACCACTCACCTGCTTGGAACTCCACTTGGCGATTTTTTTCTTTTTCCTCTTCTAACAGCATAGAGTAGAGGATTCCGACTGAATTATGGATGCCGAAGATGGAGCCGTTGCACCAGGTAGCCGCGAACACCACCATCCAGCCGAAGCCACCTTCGGGAGGTTGGAAGCCACGCGCGGTGCCGCGAGTCTCCACGGTGGGCGTGGGCTCGGGTTCTTGCGCCGGCTCGGGCTCAAACCCCAGCTCCGGCAGAGGTGCGGGGTCCGGCAGGGGTTGAGGCTGCGGCTGGGGCTCAGGCTGGGGCTCGGGCTGGGGCACTGGCATGGGCTCGGGCTCGGGCTCCGGCTCCGGCTCCGGCTCTGGCTCCGGCTCCAGCTCAGGCTCAGGCTCAGGCTCCGGACTCCCTACTGGCTCTTGCTGTTCCTGATCTGCCTCCTTCCACGGCCCCTTGGCTTCCTCGCTAGCTGGGCTTTGCAGCGCCATCGCGGCTAGGGGACTGTGGCTGCTCGGGCCAGACGAGCCGCTGTGTGGCTGGTACTTGTTTCGGCTGCTGCTGCTGCTTCTCCGAGCACTGACGCCGCCGCCGCTGCCAGTGCCTCCTCCTCCCAGCTCCGCGCCTGAGCTGGCCAGCCTGTCCCGCGACAGACGGTCCCTCGAGCCCTCTCCTCCTCCTCCTCCCCCGACCAGCCCCCCTCCTCCTCTCCCATGTCATCTCTCTCTCTCCTCCCCCTCCTCCCGCCCACCTCTACCTCCCTCAACAGGCAGCGGCTAGAGCCTCTCTCTTCTCCCCAGCCCTTCCTCCTCCCTCTTACTTGCCTATCTACACAAGCCACCGCTGCCTCCCGCCAACTCCCCTAGTAACTACTGAGCCCTCTTTTCCTTGTTGACATTCCGAGAAGAGGGAGAATTGAAGTGACACAGAGAGAGAGAGAGAGAAACACAAACTATCCTGTTCCCCTGCCCTGTCCTCTCTGCAGGTTCTACAGTCCCTACTGATCAGCCCTGAGGCTCCAAGAAAGATCCAGCCTGTTCTTCGCCTCCACTCCCTTCTTCCTCACTCGCAGCCTGTAGCCGAAATGGCTCTAGAACCCCCCCCCCACCAAAAAAAAACAGAGCCAGCCCGCGAAGGACCCCACCCTGCCCTTGGAGTCTTTATATCCCTACTTGGGCTTGGCCGGGGACGACCTGGAGGGGACAGCCAAGGCTTCGAACAAAGGGTGGACACAACCTTCTCAAGTCCAGGATTCAGCCCCCCACTGACCAGAATTACCCTCCACCCCCACCCCAGAGTCTCCCGCTAACCCCCGCCCTTCCCGGCAAATCTCTGGCGAGGCGGGGCAGGACTTGGAGGGGAGGGGAGGGAAGGAGGCGGCCTCACGGCGAGTCCCGCCCCTCCGGGCAGTCAATCAGGGCTTTGTTTGCGCCAACCTGGAGCCCCGAAGAGCCGCAGAAGGCCGAGTCTGGGCAGAGCCAGGGCAGACTCTAGGGAGGGGGCCGGGCCAGAAACGGAGGGAGGCACAGTAGTACCAGAGGGGGCCGGGCCCAGGCTGTGGCAGGCGCAAGAGCTCAGTTCGGGATCCTCCTGGCTCTTGGTCCCGAACTAGGGTACAAGAAATCAGGGCCCAGTCGAGCTGCCAGTTTGAGCTAGAATTGTCTCTGCTTTCCCTGGCCATGGATTTTCGGGTGCTTGGGACTTTGCAAAGTCCCAATTGTAAAGGTATCGTCCCAGCACCCACCGCCCCCTCCACCTTGGGCACACAGACCTGGGAGTCCCACTAAATGTCCCAGACTCAGGCCCCAACCCTATAAGGGTAACGAACACTTTGTTCCCCCAAGGAACACGTGGGTCCCGAAAGGAAGACTGAGGCAAGGGTGGATCTGTCGTGCAGGTAGCAAGATTTCCAACCCCAGGGTACAGCGGTGCCAACCTCGGCCCTTGCTGGCACTGCGATTCTGGGAAGTTGTGCCTCCCCTCAGGTCTATGCCGTTACTGCACTCAACATGAGGCCTCAACAGCTTGAGGAAGACTGTCAAATTCATTTTACTGCACATGTCATTAACCCTACTGCTAGGTCGAACACTGCTTGGCTTGTGACAATGCAGCCAAGGCACCTGGTTGAGTCTGTTGTCAAAGAGCCCACAGAGCCATCAAGCACCAGGAGACAGATAGACCTGGCTGAAGAGGATAGAGGCAGCCTGAAGGTGCAGCTCTTGCAGTGTCTTGCACAAGAGCAATCAGGAGAATTCACCGTAAACAGTCCTGATCAGGAGAGTAGGCCTTGTATGTACAATAAAGCACAACCCTTATTGCCCTGAGGTATGTCTTATCATTTGCTTTTTGAAGGCACAAAAATCAAAGCTTGCTGAGTGCTGGTGTCTTAAAGAGCTGAGATTTGGGAATCACTCTGAAGCTAATGCTGGCAAGAAAATCCATGAGAGTCATCTCTAACAACCAACAATCTGGAAGTGGAGGTAAGGCTCCAGTGATAGAGCCTATCCTTAAGCCAAAAGGCTAAGTGACAGTACTCCAGCCATGAAGTCAAGCCCTAGTAATGGTACATACACAAAAACGAACCTCAAGCCAGGCATCAGTGGCTCACACCTGTAATCCTAGCTACTCAGGAGGCTGAGAGCTGAGGATCATGACTGGAAGCCCAATCCACACAAGAAAGTCTGTAAGACTCTTATCACCAATAAACTACTCAGAAAAAGCCAGGACTGGCACTGTGGCTCCAGTGGTAGCGTGCTAGCCTTGGGCAAAAGAAGCTCAGGGACAGTGCCCCAAACCTTGAGTTCAAGCCTCAGGACTGAAAATAAATCAATAAATAAATAGCGAAGCTAAACAGAGATCAGGGCATTTATTGGCCTGATTTATTGGCATTTATTGGGCAAATTCAAGCTAAAATTTAAGGCAGGCCTCCACACAGAAAGCCTTCAGCTCCCAGTGGAGTCTAAACTTGCTGCCCCAGGGGAGGAAGACCTAAGGGGAGGAGACAAGACCTGACTGAGCTGTGGCAGTAAGCTTCTGGATAAGATGGTGTCCAAGAGGGGCCTTGAATATTGCACAGGATTTTAATAGGTTGGATGGAGGTGGCCCCTTGCTTCAGATCATGACCTAAGCTCAAAGCACAGGGACACAGAAAGGCTCCACTCATAAGAAGAGGGAAGTGAAGCAAATGAGGCCAAAAAGTTAATATGTATGTTGCCTCTCCCAGGAAACACTTGCATTTTAATAAAAATCTACTATGCTTCAACCATTAGGAATGACAAATCACAGACACTGTGTGTCTGGGGCTTAAGGCTTGCTTTTCAGTTAGGAGGTTACCCAGAGAAGCACTAGCTTTGATAGCCACTTGCAGGGAACCTGAATCTATACCTAAAAATGATTGTTTCTTGGAGTTCTGCACTCCTTCTAGACCCCTATTATCTGAATTCTATTTCCGTCTTTTTTCTTTCTTTTTTTTTTTTGTCCGTCATGGGGCTTGAACTCTGGGCCTGGGTGCTGTCCCTTAGCTCTTGAGCTCAAGGCTAGCACTCTACCACTTGAACCACAGCACCACTTCTGGTTTTCTTGTGGTTTATTGGAGATAAGAATCTCATGGACTTTGCTGCTTGGGCTGGCTTTGAACCATGATCCTCAGATCTCAGCCTCCTGAGTAGCTAGAATTACAAGTATGAGCCACCAGCACCCAGCTTTCCCTCATTGTTAAACTGGGCTTTCAAATCACTGGCATGGGGGTATGGATGGGTGAGGACACTCACTGAGAATCTCCTGTGACACTAGCACCATGTTAGTTAGGCACTTTACATACAGGGTCTCATATAGTTTTCATAATGATACTATCAGGTTAAGATGATTTGTCCCCATTTTATTAATGAGCAAACAGACTCCAAGAGGTTAAGTCAGTTGTTTAAGTTTACAAAGCCAGTAAGAGGTAGAACAGGTATCTTCGCTCATTTGTGTGAGTTTCAAAGTATGTGCCCCACCCAGGAGACAGGATTATGTAATCACTTTTCCATCACTGGAGCAATACATGCAATACATACCATTTCTCCCTTCCTTAGAAGATACTTGTGCTTTCTAATAGCTATAGGACTGGCATCAGGAGACCTGCATCTTAATCATGGCACTACTTTTACATTCCTGTATGGTCTGAAGCATTTTGTGTTCTGTTTCTGAATCTGTTTCTTTTCTGTGTCATAATCACTCAGCTTGCTTGGCTGTACTCTACCACTTGAGCCACTCCTCCAGACCTGCTTTTTGCTGGTTATATTGGAGATGAAGTCTAGTGGACTTTTGTACCAGGGCTAGCCTTGAATCTCAATCCTCCAGATCTCAGCCAACTGAGTAGCTTAGGTTTACAGGGATGAAGTGGTACCTAGTTGTGAGTCTTGGTTTCTTTATTTACAAAATACAGTTAATACTTACTACACAGAGTTATTAAGTAGCATGCTGAGAGATACAGGCTTTATTTTGGATATATGAATCTTATGATTTGGATAAGTATTTCCAAAAGGCCCAGGTGTCAAAGGCTTTGGTTGCCAACTTGTAACACTTTGGGGAAGTAGTGGAAACTCTAGGAGATGAGGCCTAGTGGGAAGAAGTTAGGCCCCTAGGGAGATAATGGAACCTTGACCCCTTCCAGGCTGTTTCTTTACTTCCTGGCTGCCATGAAGCATCTCCTCCACCATGGGTTCATGCTATAATATACTGTGCTACCACAAGCCCAAAAGCAATGGGATCTAGTGACTATGGACTCAACTCTCCACAACTATAAACCAAATCAAACCTTCTTTCCTTAAAAAGTTTATTCATTTCAGGGCTGGGGATGTGACTCAGTGGCAGAATGTTTTCCTAGCATGCATGAAGCCCCGTGTTCAATTCCTCAGCACCACATACACAGAAAAAGCCAGAAGTGACACTGTGGCTCAAGTGGTAGAATGCTAGCTTTGAGCAAAAGAACCTCAGAGACAGTGCCCAGGCCCTGAGTTCAAGCCCCAGGATTGGCAAAAACAACTTTATTCATTTCAGGTATTGTGTCACAAAAGCAGAAAACTGATACAATAAAGTTACCACTGATGATTTTTATGAATTTATTTATTTTTTTAATCCTTAAGTGGTTGTACAAAATAATTCCAATTCAACATCTCAGTTTATGAGTAAAACACATCTTGATCAATATCACCCCACTGGATGTTTCTGAGTGGGGAGCAACATCAAGGCTATATCTTACAGAGAAAAGTGTAGAGAGACTGCAGAAGGTAACTTGGAAAGTTTAGAAGCAAGCAAAACAGGCATCAGGTACATGAACTTCTCTCTAAAAGTCTCTAAATCAGCATTGGCCAACAAATATCATCAACAGCAACAGATGTTTAGAGAATATTAACTGAGTAGACTCATCAGCTCTGCCTATGTTCACAACAGCTAAGTGAGCAGTGGTCCCTGTCTAAATTTGGACCCGTTTCTATAGCAAGTACAGAATATACTTGCTCTTGCCTGTCCTTAACAGAAATGAACTCACAGTGGAATAATTCCAATTACTTATATCTGTATTATTCATATGAGGGGATAAGATAGAACAGTGGGTCCCCATCCTCATTGC